AGTCCATGGCATGGACCCAAAAAAAACGTGTTAGACCTATAGAGCAAGTCTGTTTCGACTCGACAATTCGGATCAAATCAAATTTTTTTTCAAAAAAATCGTGTTTTTTATTGTTTAATTGTTCATAACTTTTACACATCAACTTTTTTTACAATTCTGACGCCAGATTCGAAAAGTTCATAGAATTTTACGTCGGTTATGACTATTCTGACATTTCTCACATAATTTTTTCACAGAGTTTACAGCGAGTGAAAAAATAACTAAAATTTCGTCCGTTTGGCCCGAAACGGGTTAAAATGAATTCGAGCAACATAATTGTAACAGAAAAGTCCCTAGAAGCAAACCAATTAACAGTTATTTTGAAAAATCTTAAATGGAAATTTTTGAGGAAAGTGATGTGCATCTGACCACAGCATTAGCCAAGTCATTGCAGAGTTTCGAACTCGAATGCAAGACTCGTCCTATTGGCCAAACATTAATAATTTTCCGAATAAAATATTTTAAATCTTTGAAATCAACCACCTCAGTTTTGAGCGCATAAACGATGAAACGGGGCCTATACTGTGTGTGTGAGCCTGCATATACCGCATTCACTCGCGCGCGACACGCTTACATTCAGACGCAGCGCACGGCAACGTCTTGACTCCATTAACTCTACACTTAGCGTAGCGCTTCTCTTTCTCTCTCTCTCTAGCTTATCCATCTTCTCTGCTTCTCTCACTCTTTAGCTGCACGCGTACATACATATACACGAGCTGCTGTACCGGTAGATCTGATTAGGGGTTCGAGTCGCTCGCTAAACGCGTTAGTCTCGGGCTCCCGAACGCCTCGTTGCCTTAACCCCCCCACACCCCTCAACCAACCGAGTGCCAAACTCAGAGTGAGTGGCAAGCCGAGACTTGCTATATATAAGCCACTGTCTCTCCTCTCTCTCCCTCTCTTTTGTAACTATCTTCTATCTCTGCCGCTGCCGCTGCTGCTGCTGCTCTCTTACCGTAGGCAGGCGCGCGGCGCGCTCCGATGCAAATTGAGTAGGAGTCAAGAGTATCGCGACTCGCAGAACACAAGGACTGACAGAGACTCAAAGGACATCGTACTACTAGTAATAGTCTGCGCGCGATCCTATATACGGAGGAGAGACAGTCTTGTCATCCAAGCGCCTCAAGATTTAACGTCCAACTTTGGGAATTTCTCAAGGGTTTTGAGACCATGGCGCGCTGGCTAGGTAGTAAGGTAATAAAGCGAGTATCGAGCGATCCGCTGCGAGGTTTCTTATTTTGCCGCGTTGTCGACGAGGACAAAAAAGGGCGTAGAAAAAATTACATTTATAAAACACAACGAGCAAAGAAGTTGAAAGAAAAAAGAAAGGAGTCGAGTGCGATTGTTTTGACGCACAGGTGCTGTACATTATGACGCGCGGTTATGTATAGCTAAATCGTTGCGTAGGTATACGCACGGCACAGAGAGTTTGAGGCTTCTCAAGGTGTTTGTGTGCGCCAAGCGAGAGAGAGAGAATCACTCGAGCAACGTTCACAAGAAGCCAACGACGACGACGACGACGTCGACGCGATGACGTTAAACCTCCGCAAACATACCGCGAAACGACGTTAGAGCGTGGCGCTCCTTGCCAAGACTTTCTTACTCTCTCTCCACTACTTCTGCTCTACCTTAAATTGCTGGCGTGCCTGTGTAGTCTATACAAGGAATCCTGATAAATTTCTAAGCGCAAGTAGCTGCTGCTAGCTCTGCTACTGCTCTAAATTATTATTCATGCGCGGGGTAAATAACTCGATTCCGTGAACACACGCGATGACGCTGCCATGTAGGCTTCGCAGGTAAAATGTTTTTTAGCGAGAGCTAGACGAACGATTTTTCGAAAGAAAAACTTTTGTCGCGAGAGAGAAAGAGGAAATTTGAAATCGATATCTAATCACGCACAAATGACAGTTACAGACGTAACCGAGAAACGTTAACGATCCCCACCGCGCTGCTCCTGCTATACGCAGTGTGATTTTTCGCGCCCGCACTTTTTGCCTCGCGCTGCTCATGCTCGCGTGCGGCTGTTTGGGAAAGGAAGACGCTGCAGCCATAAAAGTCAATGCGCCCTCGTAACCGGCAACGATAAGTACCCAGCAAAAAGAGAGAGCACTGCAGAAAAAGTGTACATGTTGGTGTTACCCCCTTCCCCCCACCTGCTGCGGCCTCTATAGCCATTCAAGAGCTGAAAAAGAGGAATAATCGATTTTCGCCTCGAGCTTTTTCGTCGTCGTTGCGGATCGAAAATATCGTAATAAAAAGAAGAAGACGAAGAGAAGAGAACATTAAAAAACAGCAGGACGCGCTAGCTCTATGTGTATGCCTGCGTACAGTTTGGGTAATGGCATTATGATTTTGCGCGCAGTGGCATGTCGCGCTGATAACGATGATGTGTTCTTTCCCGCGCGCGTCATGTACAAGCGCTAAAAAACCAGACGCCGTTGCCGAGCCCCCGCGCGCGACATTAGCTCTCGTGCGCGAGTATAACGACGCTCTTTACCTTATATCTTCTCTTCTTTCTCGTCTAAATGAGCCTCATATACGCGCACAGGTAAAAGAAAAAGGCAAAACGAGTGAGAGAGGCCAGATTGTGCTTATGAACGAGGTACTTATGGGAGCTCGAGATGCGAACTTTAACTGCCTAGGCTTTTAACTGCTAAGCATGCTATGCACTTGGAACTGTATCCTATGGTGTGCAAGAGTTTTAGGGAAAATTTTAAATTTATGAAATGTCGTTTATAATTGTCAGGGTGTTTGAACCATTGAATTAACGATTATTTTCGTGAAAAATGAAAAGAGATTTTTACTTTTGATTTTTATACAGTATATAAACTACGGATACCATTTCGAGGATATGAAATTGAAATAAAAAACGATCCGTTCCTCGAGCAGGAGATCAGTTTTACTTTCGGACACGGAGAGCGAATTAAAACGAAATCCCGCGCCTACCTATACGCGCGTTGACCGAGAGAGACCCTAAGTCGTCGGAAAATCATAAAAAAATAAACGCTTACCGAAAGCCTCGGATTGCAGATTTTTATGCTCTCACGTACGACTGAAGAGAGAGACGGAGAGAGTTGAAAAAAAAGAGAGAACTGTGCGAGCCCGAGCCGTAAATGTTTAGTACGTAGCGCAGGTGCGGAGGTGCTGAAAAAAATCACGTTCGGCATTAGCATAAGCGCCGGAATAAAGCACTACTACTCGAGAAAAACTCCGGGGCGTACATAACACACAAGCCCGAAGAAAGGAATACACAAGCTCGGCTGGTGGTGTTGGTGCGGAGGCGCGGCTGATTCCAGTCCGGGCCGCGTCCGTTGAATACACAAACATCGCGGATTTATCCCGACCAGCTCTCCGACTAGCTTTCTTTCCTTCTCTCGCGCTCGCCTTCGATATATATACACTTTTATTATTCACCAGCTCTCGGGGTATCTTCTTTTTTTTATATACGGCTATGATACAACAGTAGATTCTCCATTCCTCTTGCCCCCTTTTTTTCTTTTATTTTGTTCTCATAACGCGCGCAACGCACATATCTCGAGTGTGTCGAACAAAGCTCGCTCGCGCAAGCACAATGTGTGTGTGCTGTATCCACTTCTGCGCGATGAATAATCTACACCAAGTGCCGATGAGAATGAAATATTTATCGATAACGCGGGAGAGAATTGCCCGAGACGTAAAATAGTTCGTTAAAAATTACCGAGCGAGCTAAAAATTATGTAGTCGCGCGCACGTTGAAGGTTTTCCTTTTTTTTTCTTGTTTTTGATACGACGTCATTTTCAAGACAAATTGTTCGAACATGCCTATCATTTTTACGGCCTTTCGTTTACAAATTCCTCTGACTGATGTCCTCGGGGCGTGTCTTGAAATTTTAACGCTCGACGGGAGAGACAGGTACACCTACCGACTTCGCTCCGAAATTCCTATTACGCAAAATTCTAGAGAGCTCGCGCTTCATTAAAAATGTCAAAATTTCGCTCCTCGCGACCTGGTCTAAAATACATTCCGTGTGCGTAGTGAGCAAAAATCAAAATTTTCTCTATTGTGAAGGAATGCAAAGCGCGGGGGTGCGAGGAAAAAAAAGCATCGAAGTGCGTATAGCCTTTTCTTCGATGTATCTACACATTGTAATCCAAGCACGTATGTGTAGCCCCGCATGCGCAATCATTTGCTGTTTCGAATCGCGACACACACACACACACAACTGTGTACACTTTTGTATACGCGTCGTCATTCCTTTAAATTTGCAGCCTCGCACTATACACGTACACCATACGGAACTTTTGAATAATACTCGGGAAATTGCTATTCCGGCTGTCGAGGAGTTGTCGTCGTCGTCGCGGCAAAACGACGACGCGATGTAAAAATAATGCTCTCGCCCAGGCGCGACTGTATCGTTTTACTACTACTGGCGAATACATAAAACGATGGATTATTCTAGGCTCGACTGTGTGTGCGCGCGCGCGATTTACTCCTGTAGGTGAGTGTGCAGAAATTCCGAGCGAGTAGCGCAAGAAATTATATAACAGGCTCGTTAAAGCGAGGCCAATATTCATTGGTCTTACTTATAAGCCCCCGTAATATGCATAAACAAATGAGAGCTAGGCGTGGAAAATCGAAAAGGGTGAATTTGCATCGGCGGCGTGCCAAGAGCTCGGCAAGATTTTTCTCGAAATTCGCGCGAGTCCCGAGGAAAAGGGGTTGAAATCTCCCAGTGCACTGTTTGGCGTTGGCTCCGACGCAGCAACGCCTTCGCCAGCAGTTTTCCAACGACCAAAAGCGGAAGGCGGTCGATTTTAAAAAGAATTAACACGCTTTACTACCTTTTCTCTCCTCGACGCGCGCGCCAGTGTATATTCAGTCATACTCGTCAAATATTTGCTCAAGTACTTAACACTATATGAATATTTTAACTGGCAAGTTAATATTTCTACAATATTCTTTATTCCTTTTTCCTTCGCAGATTCTGCGTGGGCGATCGCTTCTACCTGTGCGAGAACAAAATTCTCTGCGAGTACGATTACGAGGAGCGGCTGGTGTTCGCGAACATGGCGCTGCACCCGCCGGCCTCGGCGACCCTGGCGCACATCAAACGACAGGTGACACAGCATCTGCAACCTCCGCAGGTACGATTTAAACAATGCGGTATTGAATATTTGAAGGACATGGAAGCACATCTCTCGCTTGTGGAGATGCGCTTGAGATACAACAAAAGTTATGAGAAAAGTAAAATGTTCAATGCTTGTTTAAATATTACCTACGTTGGTCCTGCGAAATATGTTTTTATAGATCAACTCTAGACATTGTTCGTTTTTTTTCATTTTCAATTGGTATGAGATAAGTTTCAATGAAGTTCGGAGATTAATCATCACGATAAGCGAGCGAACAAATAAAACCATAAATACAAAGTTTAAACGAACTACACTTAGGAAAAAGTCCGATCAAAAGTTGGGAAAATTTGTGGATTTCATATGGCCGGTGATTCAACAAAAACAACATAAAAATCATTTCAGTTATCTTCATCAGCGGGTCTGCGCGTCGGTGTCTCACGGGCGACAAAGATTACGGACGACGATAAAGACAGATGGGAGTACATAGCCATGTGCCGTTCGAGCTAGCCCCATATATATCTATAGTTCTCGTGCTTGCACAAGCGCTACTGCGTGCAACAACCCCTTTTCTTAAGGGAGGGATCGCGCGCGGGGGAGGGATTAAAGTGGCAAGCAAGAATGGACTCTTCTTCCGACAACACAAAGCGGAGTCTTGAAGAGCGCCCGAGGCAGCGGCAGCAGCAGCTTCTTGAAGGAGATCGCGTGTCCTTATTAATTAAGCTCACCCACGCCCGTCGCGTGTCTCGAGACTACGACGACGGGCTACCCCGTTGAGCTTTCAGTAATCCGCTCTATGTACGCGCGCGCACTTGCTCGCTTCCGAGACTTTGGAGTATGCACGTGTATATAATACACATTACGCACACAGAGGAGGAACTCCTCGAGGAGGTGTTTCTTGCATCAAGGATCCGCGTGTACGTGGGTGCCTCAGCTCTCTGTATAAGGTAGAGGTACCGCGCGCTGCATACTTCTTGCTTCTTTTCCGATCGTCGCTTAGAGATACACAAGTATGTCGCAAGAATTTCTTTGAAATGCAGCTGCCTCGTTAAATACTTGCTAACGAAACTAGCAAAAAAATAATAATGATGAACAACTTGAAAGTTGTACCTGTACGCAATACAACTTCAACGTGAAACATTCTCAGCCGTTATTGTTTGTACGGGAAGTGTCCGAGGAAAAAAATTACAAAATAATAATGATTAAACAGCGTTCAAATATGGCGCTTATCAATTAACATCCGAGCAGATCGTGGTTGTATGTATCGTGTAGATATAAGTACGCAAACGAAGCTGAGTCAGAACTCGAGCTTTATACGAGTACAATATACGATCGCGTTTACACCTGAACACATTGCACATAGAAGACAATCATAATGCAATGCAGGTTAAACGATTCAGGAACGTAGAAAACGCGATTCATGCGTAAGGTTGGCGAAATGAATTAAACTGGCCGCAGGTTATTAAATGCATATACACCAAATGTGCAAGCTTCACGCGACTGCATGCAACGTAATATAACGGGCACGCGGAGCTCGTAAATTGCCAATGCCGTTTCGCGCGTTATGGTATAAGTAAGCGAGCGCGAGAACCCAACGGAATATATACATCGATGCTTTCGCGTGAAACCGCGACTGCACTTGCATGCACGTGCGAGCATGTAATAGCACGTCGATTGTGTGTAAAGGTGATATTTCCGTATCGAGGGGCGCGTGTCGCGCTCCGAATGGCAAGTATCGCAGTATGCAAGTATTTGGACCTGAAAATAAATTAATTAAAATTATCCAATTTAATGTAAGATATCTAATTTTACCGGTGGATTTCAGTGTTTAAAGCACGCGGCTAGATATATTTCTCTCTTTCTCTCTCTCTCTAAAAAAAAAAAAATAAAGAGGATGTTTTTACTTGGATGACGAAAGAAAACAGATATTTCGAAAAAAGTACTGTGTACACTACACAGTAATAACAAAATGGATAACAGCTAGAAATATTTTTTTTTTCAAAAGAATTATGTATTAATAAACATCTTTTTGTGAAAGATTTTTCAAAGTTACATAGCGTACTCGTGTGAGCGTAGAAGTCTTCATTAGGTTCAAATGTCTCGAAACGAAGTTAACCTTGAATTGTTAACGACGATGTTGAACTCTATTTGTGTGCTTTTTTAGTTGACTCTGATATCCAAATGATTTATGACAAATGTCACATTCGAAAGGTTTGCTCCGATTATGTATCGCGCTTATATGATTTTCGAGAACATTACGGTATCCAAACGATTCGTGACAAATTCTACATTCGAAGGGTTTGCTGTCATTATGAACTGCATTTATATGAGTTTTGAGGGTGTATTTTTGTCCAAATGATTTGCCACAATTCTCACACTTAAATGGTTTGATCCGATCATGTACTGAATTTATGTGTTTAATGAGGTTACTCTTATATCCAAATGATTTTTAACAAATGTCACATTCAAAAGATTCACCATGATTATGAACTATCATTATGTGATTTTTCAAAGTATGCTGATATCCAAATGATTTATGACAAATGTCACATTCAAAGGATTTGCTACGATCATGGATTACAATTATGTGATTATTGAGGATTTATTTTATTTGCCCTTCCGTGCAAAAGATTTTCGACAAATGTTGCACTCAAAAAGTTTGCTACGAACATGTACTCCATTTATGTGAGTTTTGAGGGTGCTTTTTTGTCCAAACGATTTATGACAAATATCACATTCGAAGGGTTTGCTCCGATAATGTACTGATTTAATGTGAACATTGAGATTTCTTTTTTGTTTAAATGATTTGTGGCAAGTCTTGCACTCAAAGCGTTTGTTTCGATCGTTTATGGTAATTATGTCCCTGTTGAAATGATCCTTGTGGCTAAATGTTTTGTGAAAAATATCACATTGAAAGGTTTTAATACGATCATGCACTGAATGTATGTGTTTAATGAGATTGCCTTTGTGTCCAAATAATTTGTAGCAAATCTCACACTCGAAGGGTTTGTCACGATTATGTACTGCAAAATAAATGAATATATTTTCATTTATATTATTGATCTGATTTTCGTTTTCTATTTTCACAATAGGTTGAAAACTTTTGTTCTCGGTTTTGGAAATACAGTACAGTATTAAGAGTGTCCGCTATTGGGAGATTTCACTGTATGTATAAAATATTCACACAGCAAAGAAATATAATTCTTATTTTAAGCTAATACAATTCATAATGGTACTTATTTGACATTACATAGTTCAATTAATCATTGAAACTGTAAATAACGGTAAAATAGGTTTAATATAAACCTAAGATTGGTCATTGCGTAAGAAATACCGACGACAGGATGAAATCAAAATTTTCCTACGCTTTCTTCGAGATTAGATACTGAATATTTTTTTTAAAAACTATTGTACAATAAATTTGAATCGTATGATAGAACTGATTTTTACACCCCGCTCGACGTAATACGACTGTTACAAAATCAAATATAGGCAGCAATCTGCCACCAAACTAGCTCGACTCGGAACAAATAACTTTGACTTGCGCCTCGCCGCCGCGTACTTACTGCACAAATCTTCCAAGATAATGATGATAATGCCATCGGCGCAGGGCAGGCATGTACTATACGGCGCTTATATTATGCAAATGCATCACTTGGCTTCGCGCACTCCGCGACTTTAACAACCTGACAGAAACCTGGGGTCGAGGTCTCTCCATATAGATCGCTCATGCTGTAGGACCACGTTGTATTATTATGCGAGTGTGTTTTCGAACCCTTGCCTCGCGCTCTATCCTATAGATCTATAACTATATATACATTGTCATATAATATACATGCACAACGCTAAGGCGAAGTGCGTGTTTGTCTTGGCTTAATTAATATCGCTTAAACTACTGCGTCGCGCCGAAGGAGACTGCTGCCTGCACCTTTCCTCCCCCGCCTTATACCTACATATACCTCAAGCCGCGCGCGGCGTAGGCTACTTCATCATTGCGGCATTGTAAAGCTTTCCATAATGTAATATACCGTGTGCGCGGGCGAGAAAGTATAACAAGCGAGGTCGGAATCGATAAATTTTCCTTCGAGAGCTTGTACAATGTATATAAATGCTTAATGATTCGTGACCGAATGCTGACAGTCATTGAAAAAAAAACACGACAGAACGTAAAAATGAAAGCGACGAAACGTGAAAAAGCTCCGAGATATACTCGAGAGTCGGCGACAAAGCGACGCCTTTATTTTCTCTCTGACAAGAGTGGGTGGAGTAGAGTATTAAAAAGCATCAGCAGCAGCACTAGGGTAGTAGCATATAGCCGAGGCGGCTCTTTTGTAATACGTCGATGAGTTAAGCGCGCGGGGCTCAACGATTATAAATGACGAAGTGTCGTACTCGCGCTTATATGATATATGACCCACGTGTATGCGTGTATACACATAGAAAAGCACGACGCCGAGTCATTCGAGTGGGGAGGCGGCCCCGTCGACTACGGTAATGCCAATAATCGCGAGACAGCATGCTAATGTCAACCGACGGCATCTATTACCCTAAGCCTGACGGATCCCTCTTGACGAGGCAACGCCGCTGCTGCCGCCGTCACACCGTCGTCGCGCTTTTATTGCCTGCAGCTTGCGCGCACTTGCCTTCGGCGGAAAGGATTGACTTGGTGGCGCATAATCGCACTTGGCTGCAGGCTTTATTATGGAGAGAAGAGAGAGGGCCCAAAGACTGACTAGTTTAATTCCGGTATAAAAATCGAAAATGACCCAGTATAAACTTTCGAGCTCTTATAACGCGTGAAATATTCTCTTCTCCGCTTGTGCGCGCCTAATAAATGCCTTTCTCCAAATAATAAAACTTCGCAGAGTGGCAAGGAAGAGAGAGCGTAACAATCTAAAGAGTCTCTCTTTTTCCACCCTTTGAATCTTGAATTCAGATGGAATTAGGCTCCGAATAAACGAAATGTAAAACGGGTACCACCCTTGTTAAATGGAACGTTTTGAAAGAGAGAGAAAGCT